AGTCTAAGAATATGTGTAATAATAAAACAGTCGGAGCCCTTCAACTGGTGATGTTTAATGTCGTTGAGGCCATCGATGGCCACTTCAGACGACCGATAGGTAAATGTGATTATTATCGTTGAAAGGGAAGCAAAAAAGTTTATGATAGTTATAAAAACTATTGACCGATTGACAGCAGTCTCTCTCTCTCTCTCTCTCTCTCTCTCTCTCCCTCCCCACACACACACACGACAATTGTGAGCACAGGTATGAATCGACACAAGACTTCTGCTAAATATATAACAAAATGAAAAAAGGTTTCTCTCTGTTTAGGTATTGTAAATGCAAATGTTTTACGACCTCATCATTCCCATCATTCCCGTGACCTTATTTTATCGTCACAAATGTTTTAAGCCATTTGTGTGTAAAGAAAATGTATGTCTTTTATTTGATCAGAAGAAACACCTATTCCTCTGATGTGGACAATAAGGAACAGATGCAGCACTTGATTGCCATTAAAGCACTCATATATCACAACAAATACTATACCATTTTAAGTGATTTCTGGTATTTATTTTTAGACACATAACAGGAATTCACAAGAATTTCTTTCAAATGAATAAGAATTTATTCCTTACTCTTTAAGCAACGAAAACGAGTTTACAATTTAAAANCCATTAAAGCACTCATATATCACAACAAATACTATACCATTTTAAGTGATTTCTGGTATTTATTTTTAGACACATAACAGGAATTCACAAGAATTTCTTTCAAATGAATAAGAATTTATTCCTTACTCTTTAAGCAACGAAAACGAGTTTACAATTTAAAAACTTTATATTGTTTTAAAACAGAAACACTAAGACATGAATGATTGATAAAATTTGATTTGAATAAAAATAATCATATTTTAAACAACAAAACAATTAAACATTTTATGTTAAGAATTGATTTATAAATTACTGGCGGTTTGAATGAGCGGTTATATTGATTTTGGTACTGAATTTAAAAAACTAAATATTAAAACTTAAATTGAATTACGAAACAAAACTAATAAAAATCATATAAATTATAACAAAACGTTTCCGCTTTGTATTTGTTGATAGAGTTGTGGTGTAATCGTCACATAACTGTCGGACTTCTTGTCCAAGAAGTACAGCTCGTCTTTAACCACATTGGGATTGAAGGCCTCCTTCTCTAAGCTGTGTTTCTGTAGTTTATAACTGCCGGTCAGCTCTATCTTATCGACCATTACCATTTTAAGTGATTTCTGGTATTTATTTTTAGACACATAACAGGAATTCACAAGAATTTCTTTCAAATGAATAAGAATTTATTCCTTACTCTTTAAGCAACGAAAACGAGTTTACAATTTAAAACTTTATATTGTTTTAAAACAGAAACACTAAAGGCATGAATGATTGATAAAATCTGATTTGAATAAAAATAATCATATTTTAAACAACAAAACAATTAAACATTTTATGTTAAGAATTGATTTATAAATTACTGGCGGTTTGAATGAGCGGTTATATTGATTTTGGTATTGAATTTAAAAACTAAATATTAAAATTTCAATTGAATTACGAAACAAAACTAATAAAAATCATATAAATTATAACAAAACGTTTCCGCTTTGTATTTGTTGATAGAGTTGTGGTGTAATCGTAACATAACTGTCGGACTTCTTGTCCAAGAAGTACAGCTCGTCTTTAACCACATTGGGATTGAAGGCCTCCTTCTCTAAGCTGTGTTTCTGTAGTTTATAACTGCCGGTCAGCTCTATCTTATCGACCAGTCGTACGAACAATGGTATCGCATACGAGGGTATCTCATCCTTGAGCCGAGCGTACAGTTGTTTCATATCGAGTGTACCCTCTGTTGGTCGGGTGAGTACAGCCATACCGGCCTTTCCCTCACTGTTTTCAATGGCCACTCCAAACACCACACAATCGTTCAAACGGATCACCTTTTGGATGATGGCCTCGATCTCAGTGGTCGACACGTTCTCACCCTTCCAGCGGAATGTGTCGCCCGTCCGGTCCCTGAAGTACAGGAATCTGTTGTCACCGACAGAAAGACAAACATTTAATTAATAGTTATCTAATTAATTGATAACAATATAATAATGGTGTTTATAATAACCCCAATTCATCCATTTCCATGAGATCGCCGGACAGGAAAGCTGAGTCTCCCTTTGACAGCACGTCTTTCACCACTTTCTTTTTGGTGGCCTCGACGTTGTGATAGCCCGGGTAGGCTCGGGCCGGATCTGACTCTTGAATTTTGCCCACAATTTCGCCAATTTCTCCCGCCTTTACGGGAATGCAGAG